GTATTTTTACAGTCTTTATTTTACAGTTAAAGCATAAGTTTATCAAATAAAGTCTAATGTTACCATGAATCGGGGATCCCTTTCAGAAGCTACAGAACTGTGTGAATGATGATGTCAGCACACACACTACACTGAGCTTTCATTTTTGTAACTTTGATGCCTTTCAMAACATAATATTCTCAAGTGAAWTAGATYCAGATCACTTCAATTACCCTAAAACAATTGTTTTATTTTAAATATGCTTCAGCCTACTTGCTCTGTTTTTATGGCCTCCATTTGTTTAGTATAATGTGGGCCACTTCCAGGTTTCTCCTCAAGACCAAACAGTATCTTCTGTAGGCCCTGGGCCTTTTGATATTATTTTATTATCACYACTTTTATTACATAGGGTTCTGYATGTTGTATTTATGATTAAATGCAGCAAAATAAACTCATTCACAGTTAACAGATGTTTGYAATATGTCGTTTATTTACATAACGACTTTAATTACTGGATGTTCGGCCCCTGAGCTGTTGGTCTGCAGTAATCGTGGCCCCCAGAGCAAACATAGTTGAATAGCTCGGTTGTCGAGTTTGTGAAGTCTGTTCAAACACAGYCATAGCAAGTGATGGACAGACTGCAGTGTTAAATAAAAGAGCAAGYGAAGGATGAATACAGATGCATGTACCACTTTTCAGTTTTCTGTTCTTTAGAATCATTTAAAACACAAAAAAATTCTCTTTCCACTTGATCAATTTGAAGTTTTTTTCATAGAATACTTACTTTTATTAAAATTAAGTATAATTATTTTCCAAGTTGTGAGGCAGCAAAATGAAAAACATATAAAAAAGGAGTGAATATTTATAAGACGTTACGTGTGTTTAACCTTCTGACACCAGYTTTGTGGTGTTTCTTCAGGTACCTCATTAACCCAGAGCAAACTCTGCAGCTACATTATGTGAAAGTGGAGGATGCTGGCAAGTACATATGCACTGCTGTCAATCATGTAGGCGTCGTCTCTGCTGCTGCACAACTACTAGTAGAAGGTAACGTCATGCTAATTTTTAATTTCGCAACACATAATTTTACTGTTTTAATTTTTAGCAGTTCAGTGCAGTGGTAGCTGGTTTAGTTAAAGTCTAGAGCTAGCACTCAGAAGAAAATGGGGCTGTCTGCTGATCAGATCTGCCCCACGGCATGCTGGAACTCATGTTGTACCTGATCTGAGAGTGAGTGGAGGTATAAGAATGGGTGAATCACCTGCTGCATAAAAGTAACTGTCAGTAAGATTAGAAAAGCTCCATGCTGAAGTGGGATTAGTGTGTTCTGACACAATACTAACACCATCTAAGTGTGGGACTGAAACTGCTGATTCTTTAGTATTCTGCTTAAGGGAATGGAGATATTTGAAAAGCCTCCATTTCAAACAAGTAAATAGTTGGCTGGGCGKCAAAAACAAGAATAAACTATGAACAATGCAACACAAGGAGAACCAGGGCGTGACCAAACAATGAGCGGACGGGGAAGTGGAGGAAGTGAACCAGTAATATAGTTACAGGGTAAGTGGAACGTGGAGACAGCTGGGTCAGAGCCGGCTCTTGGCATAGGCGAACTAGGCGGTCGCCTAGAGCGCCATCTGCTGGAGGG